ATCGTAGCGGACGTCTGAGCTCGAAATTTTTCCGTTAAAAGTAATTGTCAGGGCTGAGATAGAGGCAAGGCTTTCGTTCAATTTCCACAGTGCTTCGTGGAAAATCTTATCCGACGCGAGCAACTCAGGTATCCGGTTAGGTTACGAAAGTAATTAAATCATTAACAAGAGACGAGTTTGCAGCGCAATCAACGGTTACGTGAAGGGTTTCCAGGGTCTTGTGTATTGCCCATTCTACTTTACCTGTTCCTCTTTTCTCTGCTTATGCATAGGGTGTTCCGCCCGACCTGGCCATCTTAAATATCCCATTTGTTGATTTTCGTGGTAGGAAATATGCCAGAGGGAAACATCGTTCATTTGCCAGGGACAAATATTATGACGTGAAAACAAATTTTCAGATTATACCTCGCATGTTTTCGTAGTATGACATACGATAGTGGCTATGGAAATTCTATCACTTTAAAAATATAAATGCGTTTGGTTACTTTTACATAAGCAACAATCGTCTGTACAATTGAACATCAACCTCTCGAGGGTTATTAACACATACGTGGACGGTTTGTTTCTAAACTAAAATTACGATTATTCGATATCGCTATACTTTTTAGAATTTAAGAGTATACAATATTAAAGTGAGACGTATTTCTATGTTAAAATCGATTTACAGACAAAAATTGCTTCGGTTCGTGTGTACTCGATTAAAGCAAAAGAAAAGAATTCTATTTAAAATTCGTCCCTCTTAAATATGTCGCATTTGGAAATTTTAATGAACGTAGTAAAATTAACGGAATCAAATGCACGCGAATGGCGAGAATTTCGAATAAGGCTTACCCGCTTCTTTTAAATCCAGCTGGATTTTTCGTCGAAATTCCACGAAATACTGCCGAACCATCGTCGTCGCTTTTCCCATTAAATTCTTTTGACATACGCGCTAATTGTGAAACGTAGAGGACGAGTAATTCTTTAAATTGTTAATTACACGTCCCACGTACAGAACGATGTTTGAACTTTGATACTTTCAAAGGGTTTACACACGAACGCAGAACTTTTCCCGCGCGAGAACACCCGGTAAGGACATGTACCGAATCGATCAGTGCCAAATTAAATGGGCGGTGATCGGGTACCGAGAATGTGGCAGCAATTGCAGTCAAAGGGTTCCGAAACAAAAGAAATGAAATTAAACATCAAGGGCAGAAATGAGGAAGCGAGTACAAAAAGAGTGGAGTACAGTACTGCGCAAAAGTCTTAGGCCGCTTAGAGTACAATTACACCTTTTACGTATTTTATTTTATCGATGTTATCGATGAATTATACAGTGTACGAAATTATATGAAAATAGTGTTAATTCAAAAGAGAATTTTAATGTTTAGCACTCCTTTTACGTTTCACTTCAAAGGGTAACTATTGTCTGGCTTAAGCTAAGAGTTTGGCAAGTGCTTCGTCGTTGAAATTGCTGACTATAAATTTCAAAATAATTTATTATAATAATTGTAACTAACATTTTTACAATATAAAAATTTTGTAATTTACAGTGGAAAATACGTATGTCGTGGTTTGATCTGTAGTTTAAATACACAACTTGTGAAAATTGACTACCATGTTGCAATAAAAATATATTAATGTTACTACATAATTTATACAAATGAATTTGTTTGAAAACTAATTACATTCTTGCTAATCTAAATCTAATCTCACTTTGTACACTTTACACTTTACACTTTTTATACCTTAAGTTTCTCTACGGTAAATGGACAGTACATGATCCGGGATCGGATATCTCGATGAGACAATGCTAATGCAACGATCAAACTTATTTTTATTATTAACGTTTTTGTCGTAAAACTGTTACCATCATATTCCTGACATTTTTCTGATTAAAACGAGACCAAACACGACGTAATTCGCAACATATTTACCATATGTCTCACCGAAATAATCCCGGTGTTGGTCGCCATTTTCGCATGTCGCTCCGTCCTCTTCTTCATTCGCTGTACTTCTCCACACTCGAAGTTTGTTGACAAAACATTAGAAGATACAGTAACGACCGAAGGAGCCATGCAAAATCGGGGACCCAAAACATTGAACTTGAGGTTTTTACGTGTTTACTTAATTTTTTTTTATAGAAAACGATAGTATTTCGTTTGTACCTGATTGTACCTCCAATAGTTTCGTTTGTACCTGATTGTACCTCCAATAGTTTCGTTTGTACCTCGACCTATTAATAATTAAAAAAAAATAAAAAAAATCGACATTTTTGATGAATTGTCAATTGCACGCGAACATAAAATAAGAACATTTCCAGTACAAATCTCTTCGTTATTATTCACATTTATAGCAAATGTTTTCAAATAATATCGGTATAACGAAATTGTTCAAGTATCGGTCCAATTTTTTCCGGCGCTCGAGATACTGGGTATTCCACGTTACTGTCAACGTCTGAAATTTCGAGAAAATCCAAAGAAAAGAAAATCCATATTTATTAACGTCTGCAGTAGAAGATCCCCTCGAAGGGGGCACCCTGTACGCCAATGGTACGTCTCCACCCCCCGTGCTTTCCACGACGAGGAGCGCACGCATGAATAATAAAGAAATATGCAAAGAGCCCGCACTTCCTATTCATTCGAATTGTATCAATTAAACGCTGGCAGACGGGCGACAGGAAGGTCATCGACCGCTATCAGTTTCACTCCAACATCGGTCTGCCCTTTATGCTCGCGGCGACTTTCTCCGGCGAGCGTACCGAAGGGTATTTTTTCCACTAAAAAAAAAGGGCGCACCGGCTGAGAGTATTAATGCAGAGCATCGCCGCAAAGGTGCATCCGTCGGTGGAAAATCCGCGCGCGTGGAAACGTGTGCGAGGAGCAGATCGAACGGCGGTTTCGTGGGAGGAATGGGCAAGAGGTGGGCAACAGGAGCCCACGGAAGGGCAAGGGAAACGCGGATAGAGATATTCAGAGATGCAGCCGACTACTTTGCGTCGCTGCAGGAGACCCTATGCGACGCTGAATTTACATAAGCGGCTTTTCTCCGGGCGAAGCTTTTCTCTTGGTCCTAAACAAATATTGACCGGGCTACCTTCGCCTCTTCTCGCCACCTGTCATCGTCAAATGGTCCTTAGCTGACCAAGCGCATTATAACGTGAACGTTAAACGGGATGGCTGCGCGACGAATAGCAACGCCAATCGAGAAACTGAACCTGGATAGAATTAATTGGGATATTTAGTCTATTTGGAAGCGGAGTTTGCCTCCGATCGAGCTGATTCTTTTAATCGAAGATAGTCCCCGACTTGGTGATTACAATGGTGGCCGTCTTGACCCTTAACTCCCACCATCCCCCTTTCCCCTTCGCCGCGTAGCAAAAACGGTTAAAAACTGAAACGGTTCAAAAAGTGGTATTCCGTACCGATCTCGGTGGATACATCATTTCCAAATTTTTGTCCGTGGGTTTTGCAAAAAGGACTCACGAATTTTGCTTTAAATAACAAAATACACCTGTCGGCTTAATAAATACGACATGATAAGCATAATGTACACTTGAACAACATCATCTTTCACGTTTAATTGTAATCGCGTGTACTTATTTACTTAAAATAAGAAGATTATACAGGGTGAGACTTATAACGTGACGACCTCAAATAACTCGTAAGGTATTCGTTTTACGACAAAGTGTTTCAAAGAAAAATTGCATGGTATTTAAGGTAACATACAGCGATGTAATCTGTTTTTTATTACCTCACTTTCGTATGGAGATATTAGGGTCACCTTCAGTTTTTTCAATGGAATATCTAATATTTTTTTTTCGAATTCGGATAAATCATCAATTTTTGCATAAAAAAGTATTACATGAAGTGGGAATTCAAATGAATAATTACTGAGATATCTTCAAATTAATAATCTTCTATTAGGAAATACGCTTAGTCAACGTGATTCTTAGCACGGCTTTATTCACGTCGATAGGTCATGTAACAAGTTCCCTGTTAAATATTAATAATATTAATCAACACGGAATGCCTATTTAGTATCTCGGTAAGCGTTAAAGTCGTATCGAGAAAGGTGCTACATTTTTATCACGATGTTCAGTAACAGTGAAACAACGTTATGATAATTGTTTATGGTGCTTGTGAAGAAAATGCTATAAAAGCTAAGATCTTGTACCAAGCTAAGTATCCTGATCGAAATCAGCCATCGCATTCTACCTTCTTAAGGCTTAGTCGGAAACTCAAAGAACATGGCAATTTTAATTAATGTACAGAAACGTAAAAGCAAAAAAAAATATACGTGTTGAATTGAGTAACCTCCTCCTTTTCGAAGTCGGTTAAAAAGATATCACAAAGTTGTGAATAATGAAGGATGTCGTACTTCAAACTTAGTAGCTATTGCCCATAAACTTCTTGTATAAATATCTCAGTAATTTTCATTTCAAGTCCCACTTCATGTAATACTTTTTTACGCAAAATTTGATGATTTATCCGAATTCGAAAAAAAATATTAGATATTCCATTGAAAAAACTGAAGGTGACCCTAATATCTCCATAAAAAAGCGAGGTAATAAAAAACAGATTACAGCACTGTATGTCTCCCTAGATAGCATGCAACTTTTGTTTGAAACATTTTGTCGTACAACAAATACCTTACGACTTATTTGAGGTCGTCACGTTATAAGACTCACCCTGTATGTATTCTATACCATTTGTGTTTATTAAAAGGGAAAAGAAAATTCTAAAATTTCTTTTGGAAAATTCTTGATCAATTATCTATTTAATTTGCAGCTGATTCACTTGTGCTCGCATTGCAATATTTATGATACACTGCAATACGTTTCTCCGTCAATGAAATTATATAAATTATACAATTTTTACTTTATTGTTCAATCTGTATGGTTAGGAAGCGAAAATTTATTTTACGATAAGTATCATACGTAACGTGTTTACCTCGCTTCTGTGGTGCTCAAGGAACTAAACGACGGGGTAACTAATTTTGTCGCATCCTTTTTGTTTCAGAACGCAAACTGTTCGTTGGCATGCTGTCGAAAAAATTCACCGAAAATGATGTCAGGAACATGTTCAGTGTCTACGGGACTATCGAAGAGTGCTCGGTGCTGAGGGACAGCACTGGAAAGAGTAAAGCCTGTGCCTTCGTTACTTTCGCTAGTAAACAATACGCCATCAACGCCATTAAAGCTCTGCATCATTCGCAAACGATGGAGGTTGGTAGAATTTATACGTAATCGTCTCGATACTTCTTCATATATATATATATATATATATATTTTTTTTTTTTTTTTTTTTTTAACGACTCGCATGGCACTCAAATTTTATGTTGAATAAAGGTACAAATATTCCAATGTTACTCTGTTTTTGTATTTTTCTTCTATTTATGTAGGAAACGTTTATGAAATAGAAGAAAAATACAAAAACAGAGTAAAATTGGAATTTTTGTACCTTTACTCAATTCTTCCTAATTCCGGTATTTATCTATAGATTTTCTTCGACAAAAGCTTGTTTTCTTCGTAAAAGTGCGATCTGTACAAAACAATAAGAAACTAGACATAATTTGACAATTTCTATTTTTCCATGGCGATGGAACAAGCATTCGTATTCTATTTTAGCCGAAAAAATCAAAGTTTCTCTTATATATTGGCTCGTAACACTTAAACTATTGAACCGATTGGAAAATAACGTAAAAAGTAATTATTGGAAATTCGATTACCTTTAAAATGGCGTCTTGTGCGACCCAATCGGACGTTTCTAACTCGAGATATGACCTAAAATGTGAAAGTATGTCAGAAAAAAATCGAAAAAAAATTCAAAACTTCGTATAAAAAAAACCTATCCATAGAAGAACTTTTTCTTGCGATTTTCGAGTTTAGTAGGCCAAAATACATAAGAAAAAAATTGTGGCATTGAATGTACATTTTTTTTTTTTTTTATTTATTTTATAAACTAGTGTAATCGCTAATAGAGTTTGCTAGTCACACGATGTTCCTTCGTGCAAAGGGTTAATGTGATCGGGACGGTTTGCGTCCAATTAAATGAAGAAAGAAAGCTAGGGTAGCCGACGAGTGGCGTAGCAACGACGATCGAGAAGAGAAAACGGTGGAAAAAGCAAATCAGGGGATTCGTTAAGTGTACGCGGCTCGTTTCTTTTCATAGCGGTTCAATGAGGTCGTCGGAGATTGGCTCGGTGCCACTATCACCCGAGGAAACGTCCGTGCATCCACAACCACGGCTACAGAGTCACCTAGGCTCGATGATATACCAATTTAACTCTGGCTAACCGAAACCGAGCAAAGAAAAGCTGTTGAACGGGCCGACACCTCGATGATTCGAAACACGCGCGCGCCGTGACTTTTCCGGAGCTTCTTTTCTTGCACGCAGCCTTTCCTTGTTGTTTTCTCGCGCCTTCCTCGTTCTCATTGGGGTCACGACACCCCGATTCGAACTCCAAATGAAGCACATTTTATGTATTCAGACGTTGATCAAAAATTGTAGCCAGATGAAATGGGACAATTTGTCCCAGCATTGATGATGTTTATTTTTTTTTTTTTCACGTACACTGTAGAGCATATCTGTTAGCACCACCAGTATTTTCTAATATTGTGTACTTTTTAGTTGGTATGAAGTACAATGTACAAGATGAAAAGCAACTAGGCTTTTCAATTGCAGTATTTAGCTATTCGAATTTATTTACTATGTCGAGGGTTGTCTACGAACAATGTTCAGTTTTTGGAAACAGACTTGGCTTTCAATGTATCTAGGAACAATATGGAGGAATTATTGTCAGCCTAGATTGGCATATGTTACTGTAGAAAATTCTTTTTTTAATTAATGACTTTCTAAATAGCCCGGTAGATAAAGTGTTAATGAATACATGTCCTTTCAGATTGTATATGGGGTCATTTTTCATCCTTACTCAAAAGCCTGAAATTAAAAGAAAAACTATTTCAGAGAAATTAGCATAAGCCTTCTTATTTATCATATCCTTTCAGTTCACGTAATTAATCCTTTTCCATCCCTACTCGGAAGCCTGAAATTAAATGAAAAGCTACTTCAGAGAAATTAGCATAAATCTCTTTATTTATCATACCTTTTCAGCTCGCATAAATTGATCTTTTTTTTTTTTGTTTAATACAAATTGTTACTTCCACGTGTTGTGCACTAACAATCTTTTGTCAAATATTTCATGTCGCAAAATTTTAATCTACATTTTTACTACGTTTTGGATGAAAAATTGCCCTTTTCGATTAAACCACATGGCACGGGGTTTGTTATTGCAGTTGTTTCGATTTTTCTGTTGTAAACTAGAGAAAGACGAGCCGTGGCTTGGCGCGCCGAGTTTTTTCAATATGCTACGTAGCGAGAAGCTCCGCGCACTTAAGACAGGCTTGATTGTCTCTTAACGCATTTTAAACCGGTCACATAACAGTACAATGACTCACAGGTTCGTCCAAATAAACCTGACAGATGATCATCTAGGTTATACGATGTCTTAAAATAGTACAACACGACGAAAATGATTCCTTTTAAAAAACTATATTAAAAATGTTCATTGAATCTTTTCTTTACTTCGTTAGGGACACTGATACCACACGCTTTATTTATTCGCTTTACGCAAAATAAAGTCTTTGCAAACGTACCTACAGAAATTGAATCTATGTAGGAATTTACTTTACTTTTTAACCAATATAATATGTACTTTACTTTCAATTTTTTTTGTTTTTTTTTTTTATATTATTCCATACTTGTGCATTTCGTAATTTTGTTGCACATTCGAATTTCCTTTAAATGCATAAAAATTCGCAGTCTAATATTTCGTCTTGATTTTCAATTCAAATTATTCTGAATGAATAAACATTTTTAATTTTTTGGAGAATCATTCACCACGAAATCTCTCGACTTAAATTAGGTATTGGTATCGTTTGAAGTGTATTTCTGCAAACGTTCAAATTTCTGAGTCGTTGCTCGCGGACGCGACGTACTAGCGTACGCTATATATAACAGATTTCTCGAAACGTACAAAATTAATAGACTCTTCGTATCTGTATTTTTTTTCAGGGATGCTCGTCGCCGCTGGTCGTGAAATTTGCAGACACGCAAAAGGAAAAGGACCAAAAGAGGATGCAGCAACTCCAAACGAATCTTTGGAACATAGCAGGAGTCAACATGGCGCCGCATTACCTGACCGTTTGTACCTTTAATGTTTCACAACCGACCTTTTTACTGGATATCAAAGAGCTCCCATTTGCATCGAGAATGAGATACTTTCTCATAAATTTACTTTCCCGGAACTTTAAAAATTGCACGCTCGCCGAGAAAATTCTCGTGCGCCAGAACGATGCCGGAAATAAATAAAATGAAAAAAAAATAGAAAAGAAGATAAAAAAGAGAATAAGATCGGATCCACCATTCGCGATCCCATTCCCTTTGCGTGAGAATTTCTACCTCCGGCTGAAAAACCGAATTCCGTGCGATTAAATCGAGGGATTGCATGGATATTGCACCGTGTATAATCTTCCTTTCGTTCCGTGAATTATATTCAATCGTATGTACATTCGAGGAACGGTCCGAAGTTTCATTTTACTGTACGAAGCTTTACGTTTCGACAGATTAAAGTGGGACTATGCTCTCCGTTCGAATTCTTAAAACTGTACCATATGTTTGAAATAATTTCAAACAAAATAAACGGTCGATAAAATTCTTGTTTAAACTGAAATTATTTTTATTCGGGAAGCCCGCGAAAGTTCATTTTCATCCGTTGTCCAGTTTAATAGTTATAATTTATTGAAGGAAAGGTAGCGTGAAACTTTAAACGGATGTAAAACTGACAATTCCCAAAATTTTTTTAAATCCGAGATATTACTCCGAGAAGCTTTCTTTACCTGCTTCCACAAATTGAGCATCGTGAGTATACCTGCAAATAAATAGATACTGAAGTTAACAAATTTGTAAGCAGGCTGCCAGTACACTAGGGTCGTCTTTATTTTAATGATTTTTGAAATCATTACCCCCTGTATAACTTGCGAATACATAAAAAAAGATTCACGTATCCCGAACCTTCGAAAGTTTTTAATAGAAAATACGTGCAATTATTTCAATCGATAACTTTCTTTTTTATGACTCTGTTGAAAATTGATGTACTGAGTTGAAATTTGACAGAATTATTACTTATAATTACACTTCGGATCTTTATGCAAAATAAAATCTTCCCGAGCATGGCTACAAAAATTGAACCTAAATAGGAATTTATTTTATTCTGCAAATATTATAACGTGAACTTTACTTTCAATCCTTTTTATATTCTTGTATATTGTTTGCATTGTGTAGTTTCTTGCGCATTCAAATTTTTGATACATGCATAAAGACCTGCAGTCTACTTGTAATATTAGGAACGAGCCCCAAAAATGTCCACCTTAATTATTTCCTTGTGTATCAGTCCAGTAAACATGAAGTTGTTTTTTCCACGCAAGATATTTTTCGTAATATTATTTCGAACGTCTTAAATATAAACTGTTATTGAAACTAAGACTTTCGATATAGTAAATATTGGAGTTACCCGAAAGAAAAATTGTCAAGGAAACTTTCAACGCAAATAATAAGTTTATATTTAAAACATTCAAAATAATATTACAAAAATGTTTCAAGTATAAAAAATAGAGAATTATTTTTATATGTCTTTGCAAGGTATTTAACGCGTAACATATATTACAAAAATCGTTAAAATAAGTACCACTTTACACGGTACGTGGATCGTTGATAATTTCCTAAGCACGTGGACCAGTAACAGCAGTCCCGAACGTATCAATAAACGTCATAACTGATTTGCATACAAGCGCGTTAGTCGGCAGAATTAATAGCCGCGGCGTGTAACCTCGGAGTCGTTCCGCGTACAGTTAATTGCATTTCGTTTCTTTTTTTTTTGTATCCCAGCAACAGTGTTTCCCGACGAGAAACGAGGGAAGAAGCATGCTCACCTAGATCTCCGTATGTTTATTTGCAGAACGATACGCCTACTCTGGCGCCTACCTCGTTGCAGTTGTTGCAACAACTTCAGGCAACGACGAGTGCAGCGACTCCGGTTGCGGCAGGTGCTGGCGCGAACGCTCTGTCGAATGTTCAGCATCAATTATTGTTACAACAACACCTAGGCCTAGGCGCGGCGACCCCGGCACACGCTGCTGCACCAGCGGTACCGAGTCCGCCCGAAATCAATCCTGCGAATCTTCAGAGCTTAGCGACATTAGCGTCGTTAAGCAACACCGCCGGTGAGTATGGTCCGTGTCGATTCCATTTACTTTTATTTTCGTTCGCCCATCCATCTGCTGCAGGCTGATCCAAGTAAGACGTTGGAGGACTTATAAGTGCGCGCGATCCTTGACCCTTTGCGAAGGGCGTATATACAGGGAGTCCCAGCTTAAGTGATACAGAGCTCTAACTCCAAAACTATCGGCCGAATGCAAAATTTCAAATATGGAAATTGCACGGTGAAATGGGGCTCATGTTTCAGCGTGAAGGAATTTTTGTTAACTTTGTTATTTAACGAGATATGATGGTCAGGTTTCGTTTTTTTCAAATGGAACTATATATTTTTGTTTATACCATGCGATAGTATTAGGTGGACTGGAAAGTAATGTCGTTTTTGCCATCTTAAATACTTGTTTATCAATTATCAGCTCATTGATTTTTCTGGCATTGAAAAGTTGCACACTAAGTGACAAAAGGCTGCTGACAATTAGGACGAGTATATAATGAATTAAAGATAGAAATTTATTGGAAAGTTTGAGTTTAATGTAAAAGAAACGACATTACTTTTCGGTCTACTTAATACTTCTCAAGACGAATTCATTAAGGTTTAATGCATGTTAGAGGTCTGTATCACTTAGGCTGGGACACCCTGTACAGGGTTTCCCAAAACTGTTGGAGGTCCTTGAAAGGGATGGTTCGGAGGGTGATTTGGAACAACTTTTTCCTTAGCGAAAATGTTGTCCGAGGCTTCGTTAACACGTTGATCGCCATGTCACACATATGTGGGTGACAGTGCTTTCCACTGAAGAACTAAAAACATTAATTGTGAAAGTTAAGCTTCGCAGGAAATGAATTTAAATAAAATTTGTGTATTTTGACGAAGTTACAAAAATAAATACCACGACGGATGTTTGATTATGTAGTCTCCAATAGTCTGAATAATATTTAATCCTAACAGAAATTTTCAAGAATATTTCTCTGGCGGTCAACGTGTTAAGGAGTTATTAACCCTTTGCACTCGAGGCCTTTTTTCTGGTATCTATCAGCAACTCGAGATGCTTTCTTAGCATTCTATTGTCACGAATGCTAAGCTTAGATTAACTTCGAAAATGAGATCCTTAATTTGAGATTTGAGAATCAGGTCACCTTTGCCTCAACGACAATCATTTTATTGACACTTGGAGTTTCAAAGAAATTACACCTAAAGGAAACCTAGTGGTGACTGAGAGTCACGAGTGCAAAGGGTCGAAATTAAAATAAAAATTAATCCCACGAAAATTGAGCATCTAAAGATTGAATACTCTAAAAATTAGACCACCGAAAACTTTTTTATATTTACAGTTTATTCATAGGACGCTTAGTTACGGAAATGAAAATTGTAAAGTTTTAAGTTCGTTGAAAAAATTGAATTTCAGGAGGAAATTCTTCCAAGTTTTCAATATTTATTTTATTGACACTTGGAGTTCCAAAGAAATTACAGCTAAAGAAAACCTAGTGGTGACTGAGAGTCACGAGTGCAAAGGGTCGAAGTTAAAATAAAAATTAATCCCACGAAAATTGAGCATCTAAAGATTGAATACTCTAAAAATCGTAAAGTTCGAAAATCGTTGAAAAAATTGAATTTCAGGAAGAAATTCTTCCAAGTTTTCAATGTTTATATCTGAAACTAAACGAACGGATAGCCGCTGTCCGCTGTTTTTCCGCGGTTCAATGTAAAATGAAAACATCTAATGAAATCCCAACGGACTTTACCTATTTATCATACGTCGAAATTAATCTTTCTACATATACTTTAATCCTTTGGGCTCCAACTACCAGCACTGCCATCATAAATATCGAAGATGTTCTACACCAGCTGCCAAAATTGCTGGCAACATTGTTAATTTCTAAACATAATTAATAACACTGACAAATTTAGAGCATACCGTTACTTTGGGATGTTTCGTACTTTATAATTAATACTATTTTTCTTTTTCTTATATCGATTTCGATTTCATAATTTTATTATTCAATGTTGGTGTTATATAAAGAACAGACAGTCCATTGAAACGTTTAATTGTCAAATAATAGTATTTTCGATAGAATAGTATATAATCGATTGAAATAATATATGTTTATATTTGAAGTAAAGAGATCATTTTGTATTCTTTCTATTTTTACCATGAATTTATTGTCGGACGAATTTTATTTAACAGACATATTCGATATTTCTGACTCACCAAAAATGGCTGCTGCATACCTTTAAACTCTTCGACCTATTGCTTGGATCAGCCTGTATAATGTTCGTACTCGTTCATTATTTAGTTAAGTTCATAATTATTCATTATTTAGATTACACTCATACGTTATTTAGCCTGTGAGCGACGGCACAATCGGCTGTAATAATCTATTTGTTAAGTTAGTCACTTGAGTTACTCGAAGTTGGCTAAGTTGGTTGAGCTAGTTGAATTAGTTGAGTCTATTAAGATAATTGAGTACATTGACTCGTAAGCATATATGAGCAATAATAGAATATCGAGAATAAATAAGCTAATAAACATAATTTCAATTATTGAAATTCTCGTATCTATTCTAATTCTCTAATTCTTTTTAAAAATTCTTTTTCTTTTTACCAAAACTTTGTATTAATAAAAATATATCAAAGATACATTTCGGTCCGATTTACCAATAAACCATAAATTTTGTCTTACATTTGATCGATCTATTTCCCTGCAAATAAGCCAATAAATATCGTTTACGATTATTGAAATTAACGCATTCTTTGCGGTACTTTTGTGCAACAGTTTGCTACCGGGCACTTAACGCGAAATGTTTTATCGTCCAAGTTGGTAGTCGCATGTTATCACTCGACACGTTTATTTTTCGCGGTACTGTAAATTATTAAGTTGATTATGTCGCACTTCGTTTCGTAACATTGGTGCGCGACCATGTTTAGCCATCCCGTATATTTTCCCTCGGTTGTCTCTGCGATAATAAAATTCTCCGTTTAATGGGTTCGGGAAACATGCCAGTGCAATGATAGATCGATGTGGATGCCTACCATTAGCGTCCGCATTAAAACGCGTGTTTACTGCTTATTGGCGAGAAACGTATGGCTATTCGATGACGCATCGGAACTTACGCAACCGTTTCGCTGGGCCACTTGCAAAACGATACATTTACCTGTTTCTACCGTTTTTATCATCTTTGACAAGCCATCTGACAAATTGTGTTATTCCATTTCAGTGACAAACATAAGTGTGATCGCGTTAAATTAGTCAGGTCTTCTTCTGTAAGGTCCGTTCGAGTAGCGTTTTTCAAACTTCTTTTTTGCATGAGGCGCGTGACTCGATGTCTAGTCGTTAATGTGTCGATAGGTCATATTTTAACGATAGAAGTGAGTCTAAAATTTTCTCTTGGAAATGTAAAGTAATCCACAATTTTAGTTTGTGATCTCGATTATTCTCCTTTGTTGTACGATGTCGACAGGTGGAGAGGGTTGGTGGTTAAGCAAGAGTGGTTAAGTAAGAGTAGGGGACGCGATTTGTAAAGTACAACTCGTTGAATTGGTCACTTTACCCATATCAAAAAAATTAGTGTTTCGTTAAACCTTAAAATGACAACAATAATGATTTAGGAAAACTATTACAGTTGTCTATACAGGTTGTCCCAAAATTAGTGTAAGAACCGGGAATGGGGGGTAGCTGAGACGATTCTGAACCACAATTTCCTTTGCAAAAATGGCGGATGGAGCTTCGTTTTTGAATTATTAACGAAAAACCCTCTACTCGAAAAACACTACTACTCGAGCGCTGTGATTGGTCAACGGTTTCTCGTTAATAATTCAAAAACGAAGCACCATCCAACATTTTTGCAAAAGAAAATTCTCCTTCAGAATCGTCTCAGCTACCTCCCACTTCCGGTTTTTACACTAATTCCTTGACACTCTGTAGAATCACCATTTGATGACCTGAAGATGAAGTTTTCAATTACTATCCGTTCCTATTAAACACCATACTGTATACTTGCTATACTATGCTATACAGGGTGTCCCAAAAGTCGGGGAGGAGCCGGAAATGGGGGGTTTCTGAGACGATTCTGAACAACAATTTCCTTTGCAAAATTGTCGGATGGGGCTTCGTTAAGGAGATATTAAGCGAAAACCTCGACCAATCAGAGCGCGCGTAGACCGTTGGAGCGGCCGCGGTAGCGAAGGCTACGCGCTAGGCGGCAGCGTCAATGTCCTTCGATGCACGTCGAGTCACTTGTTCGCGTACAAGCGCGGCCGCCAGCGCGTAGCCTTCGCTACCGCGGCCGCTCGAACGGTCTACGCGCGCTCTGATTGGTCGGGGTTTTCTCTTAATATCTCCTTAACGAAGCCACATCCGACATTCTTGCAAAGGAAATTGTTGTTCAGAATCGTCTCAGCTACACCCCATTTCCGGCTCCTCCCCGACTTTTGGGACACCCTGTATATTGCACTCTACTTCACTATTACTAAATGCTATACTACATATATGCATTATACTATATGGCAACTCGTTTCACGTGTTACCATGTACACAACACTATTTACAGGTAACATAAACTTTCACGCATCATAAATTATCTTCGAAATTAAAAATTCATTTACACCAAAATGGTTGAGTATCGAACACTGATATTTGACCAAATTGCAAGTGAGACTTATAGAAACATTAACGAAAAAAGTGAATATCATTTGCGCCCAGACAAATTGTCCCATCTTCGCAAATTCTCCTTTCATTCAGCTATAGCCTTTCCAAAAAGTATCTTTTTCGTACAAATTTTAGATCCCTACAACTGTAATAACTGCAAACCCAAAGAACCCTGCTCCAATCTGTGATTAGAGCCTGATTGTACCGTCGCGTGCTAAACAATAGTTTCGAACAGAGCGACGTGTACTTCATTTTACATCGGTAGAATAAATATCCGGTCTATTCGTAATTTATAATCTAATTGTGTCATTTGTTTCCGATCGGAAACGTTGCAGCGAACGCAGGCGTGTCACCGATGAGTATGCAGAACCTCGTCACCTTGGCTGCCATGACCGGCGGGAACGGAAACCTTCAAGTGTCGCCAAACAGTGAGTAACGAAACTTCCTCGACGTCGCTCTATAAAACGCAGATATACGTTCGCGAAACAGACGTCGCGCGGTGCGTAAGCTGGATGCGCGCGAGCTTTTTCCTGCGCATCCAGCTTACGCACCATACGAGCCGTCTGTGTCTCAGCTAGTGGCTAGTTCCTATAAAATGAAAATTGAAATCCTGAGAATTTCGTGTGTTATAAAAACCGAAATTATAAAGCATTCAAAACCATTATCAACCACGTAACAATTACCGACCACGCCATTGTTGAGATGTAATTCGTTAAAACCAGAAACTGAACGCAGAGAAGTCAGCGTTGTTGTCACAATCATTTCTCGAGTAGAATGTATGTGTAGATATACGTATTGACATATTGTGGACGTGTGTGATAGTAGTAAAGCTGTACTTTAACGAAAGTTTCCAATTCTCGACTAACCGCTTGGACTATTTTGTATTTTAAGTTCGATAACCTACATTTTCTAACGTGACTATCTCGAAACGACTACCTTACAGCTTTTCTACGTGCTTGATCTCGTTATACTACTTTAGATGGGCTGTAAAAGCCGAGAGAGCTCGTATAATCTCTCTAAATTTTAACAGTGTATTTTTAAATATATTTACTTTCAAAAAATGAATTTCTTTTCACTTTTCGTAAGTGTCACGCTACAGTGAACCCTTAATAGAATAATAGAGCTTCAACAAACTATAGAAAATTATAAAGCAATAAATAGACAAGATAAAGAAAATAATGTACGCTACAGGGAGTCTAAAGCTTGATACGAATCGAAAAGCAGAAAGAATTTAAATAACTTTCCTAAATTTTAACGGTACATTTCTAAATACATAATAGAATAGAACGTAATACCTAATAGAATAATAGAGCTTCAGGAATCTCTAGAAAATTATAAAGCAATAAATAGACAAGATAAAGAAAATAATATACGCTACAGGGAATCTAAAGCTTGGTACGAATCGAAAAGCAAAAAGAATTTAAATAACTTCCCTAAATTTTAACGGTACATTCCTAAATACATTTACTTTCAAAGAATGAATTTCTTTTTCATTTCTCTAAAGATCTCTTAACACGATAATGGAGCTTCGGCAAACCTCAGCAATTTATCTGGTAATAGATAAGCAAGGTAAAGAGAATCATGTAAATAAATTGCAAGGAATCTGGGGCTTGATACGAATCGAATCTCCAGAAGTCCTGTTAGGGTAAAACCATTAAGAAACGCGTGGCACGAGCGCAAACGTTTAATCCCAAGTAAGATTAACACGATGTGTTCCGTCTGTAATATTTCTGTTTAATCTGATCACCGGGGTTTCGAGTTCGGAGACTGTGAAGGCGACACTCGTCGCTGTAATCTTCTTCGAGCGATGTCCAATATTGCGCGACGAATACCTTATTTCGTGTAGAGTAACGTCTAAGCAAATTTCGGCGAAGTTTACGCGCTGAATATGTAAACACGTCACTAACTCCGCTTGTTAATATCGCGAACGTGTTCTGTGTTTCAGCGTTAAGCGGACTGGCGAATTCGACAGCAGGTATGTCGCTATGTACGTGTCGCATTGCCTGGTATAGTATTAATAACAATTACTAAATTAATCTCGATCGTTCGGCCGGTTTCTAATCTCATTCACGGCTCGATACGTCTTTTATTTGCCCAAAGAAAACAGGAATACGTGGTGCGGTGAACGCGACCGAGTACTGGGACACCCTTTCGCGTCTCTGTACTCGTCGCGTGTCTGCGTGTACTACTGGCTTATACGTACATGGGGACAACTCTGAGTTTTGAATTTGTTGGATATTTGCGTAACGCGAGCAACCATCTAGATATATGTGTAGTCTACCTTTTATGGTTGCGATGCACATAACTGTGGGTGCATCGAACTCGACATTTCTTTCACGATTCCTCCTCTTGTGCTGGTAACTGTTTCCTGAACAGCTTGACCAAATCGAATTATATGTATAGTTAATGAACAGAAGTGAATTCACTCGATAATATTTTGGTTTATTTAATTCTTATTTACTAATAAACTCGTTCATACTATAAATTTGTGTCTTTAAAGTAATGAATTTTTACTGAAAATATATAAATTTATTGTATGTATAATTATTTTTATGTAAGAAGTGTATATGTATGTATTACTTACAAGAGTAATGTATTTGTTCGATGATATTCTTCTAATTTCTGTATAGATGTATATGATTATATGGATAATAAATAATAAGATGTGTATATGTATGTGTATACATAATTTGTTATATCATGTATCACATATATTCGTAATTTGTAATTTATTATTGTACAATCGTGTATATAGAGATTAGAATAAAATATCACAGAACAAATATATTATCCTTATAAATAAGATATATACTTACATATATTGTATTATGTTATATAAACATTATTGTATTATTTGTATCACATCATCATATACAAAAATTAGAATAAAATATCATTGAGTAAATATATCATTCTACCAGATGATAGATATTTATAGACCTTCTGCATAGAAATATTTAAAATATCCAATAAATCGATATGATTCAGTAAAAATTTATTATTCACTTTTGCAGAACGATATCCTTCAAAATAATACGAAATGTCCACCGCAACGAGTAGTACGCGCACACGCAAATCCGTATTCGACATCTCTATCGCTCTTTCTCCTTCATCATTTGTCTGTCTACGTCACTCTGTGCATTTTTATTTCAATATCGTTGAAGTCCTCGTGGAGTCCTGGGTAACAGACGCGACGCATCGGACGATTACTTCGATCGAAAGGTGGCAGAATGAACAATTCAATGAAATTGAAACCCTTTAGGCTGATGCACGTTGTAATGAACGTTAACTTTCAGATTTTATTACAAATAAACTGGTGAAAATTAGGCTTTATTCGTGAATTTATTATGAACAAACTGTTCGATGAAATTATTTGAAATTTATGCGTAAGTAAGTTTGTATAAGTAATTGAAATTACAGAAAAAAATTTGTGTATGAAGATATATTGGTGTCTTTATGCCAAATAGAGGGCGCCCTTTCATGCCTCGTTTTTTGAAGCATAATTTATTCAACGCTTTAGTAACTATGTCATCCAAACATGGGTGACAGGACTCTTCATTAAGAAAGTAAAAAAAATTAATTCCAGAGGTGAGGCGTTAATAAGATTAAATCTGAATACGATTCGTGCATTCGGCTAATTTTCAATTGTGCCGAAACAAAATTTTAGCCTCGTAGAAATATTCATGAATTTTAATCTAGAAGTCAATGCGTTAAATCGGTCCGTGGCACCCAAAAGGTTAAAGGATCCTTTATTTCTTCGGAGCCTTTATGTATGCCCCTTCAGAATGCGCGCTACTGTAATTCAAAACAGTCGGAACACCGACTAATTATAGAAAATATGAATACAACAAAGAAATACACTAACGTCACGTAGCTTTCGAGCATCGTCCGATGCAACTTTCGAAAAAGCCAAGGCAGAAATCGTCGATTTACCATGCCATTCGGGAGATCGTATACGTTTCTTCTTTTTTCGTTTCATGCTGAGCGCACGTCAGCGTTTTGATGTGTACATTCTTTTTCGTGCGTAGCTGTCCTTCTTGGAAAGACCGGAAACACAGGTGAGAAGAAATCATTGAAGCTTTCGTTTCTTCTCTCTTTCTCTCTCTCTCTCTCTCTCTTTCTATCTTCCTTATTTCTTTTCGTCATTATGCTTCCGTTCTGGTTACTCCCTATCCGTATGCACCCACGTACATGTACATATTCATCACTAATTCGACTTGTAATTACTGTTGGCCGTTTAATCGATAGAACGAAGCTCACCCAATACTCGTCCACTATGTTTTAATCAAGCTTTAATTCGTGTGTGTTATTTCTAGCGATGCGCACGAGACGAGATTTCTACGATCTCGATCTTGATCTCGAAGAATCTCGAAGCATGCATATCGATCTCGAATTTTGTTAATAATAATAATAATACTTTATTCACGGGCAATCTGCCCTTGATATAAAGTACAATGTAATAACAATGACAACAAGAAGAACGAAACAAAAATGGAGACGATCACGGTATCTTATAATGTAACGTGTTCGAACTAGATTGCGCATCTGCAAAATTGCAACGACTGACCTTTTGAATGCTAAAGGTGAGTCGTGAAAAAGATCAACAGACATATTAAGGCTGTTAGCCATCGCACATGTTCTTGTAACACAATTTTGTTTCGCAATTGAGGTACGATATGGACCAGTTTAAAAAATATCGCTGCTTCGAAGTTGCCTACTTGGAATATTAAATTTCAATAGTTCCAGTATCCTGGAACGTTCAATTTTACTATTGACAATTTTAAAAACTAGCATCAGGTCGGCTACGGTTCGGCGCTGCTTAAGCGTGAGCATTTGCATAGTACAAAGTATAGTGTCATAGTCGTGGTTTCCTATATTCGTAGGTGTACCTATCTTATAAGAAACGTGCCTTAAGAATTTATGCTGAACACTCTCAATCATTTTCGTAAGGCCACTTTGTAATGGATTCCAGATCTGAGATGCGTATTCAAAATGCGATGGAACTATTGAGGAGTAAAGAATTTTCGACAATTTAGAATACGTGATCCTGATCTCGACGAGATCTTGATGAGATTTTGACAAGATTGGCAATACCGTTCAAAATATACCAATATCTGTTGTTTTATTAGGAACGATACACAAGTTTTCTAGTTCTTAGGCTCAGCAGTCACGGTGTCGTATGTGTTGGCGATCGGCAATATAATAAAGGATTTTGTCGAGATCTCGACGAGAATTTAAAATAATCTTGATCTCGCCCAAATCTCGATATGCTGAATCTCGATGTCGATCTCGAATGTTACAAGTAATCTCGATGTCGAATCACATCCCGAAATCGAGACGAGATCGAGACGAGATCGAGATTTATCTCGTCTCATGCGCATCGCTAGTTATTTCGTAATATCGATGGTACGTACGACGACACGAAATGTCGGACAATGGAAATCCTTCTTTCCGTGAGAGTAATTGAAAACGTTCGTTTCGGTGAGGTCCGTATTACGCTTTGATTGAAAACGGAGTAATAATTCCGTCGCTGTACGCTACGTTGAGTAAATAATATTATGCGACAATTAATTTATCCCTTAGCGGTCCAAGTATTTACTCGAGACACGTGAATTGCGATAAAGCATCATGAAGATGCATACATATTTCTATTATTTTTACTCGAAAGCTATTCAACTAAAGCTCAGTGATCCAAGTATTTACTCATCAAAGATACGTAAACTTCGATAAAGGGTCGAGAGTATAAATATTTCTACTTTACTCGAGAACTTTTCAAGTAAACTTGATGTAAAATTGTTTACAAACTACTCATTGGTTTAGAATTTTGCACCTTCTTCCCTTTATGAAAAAGTATATATTCATAATATATCACGTATAAATAAAATCTATATCCTCTATAAATCTAATGTATAAACATATATGTATGTTACATATAAATCTATATTTTCTTATAACGAATATAAATTTAACGAAAACATTCTGCATGACAATCTTTGTTTATTCGTTCTCAAATTTCTTAAAAAGAAAATTGCTAAAATAGTCTAGATCGTACACATTATGTTAACATAATTGAAGTACAAGTATATATTTCCCACTTAAACGACCCCATAAATGTATAACAAAAATTAGCCGTGCATCCAGTGGAAAGTTTTCGAAAGCTAAATAGCTATTTTCGCGCATCATCTTCTAACAAGGAACAAAGAGTTTGAACAGGAAACTTCGTGTCATGAGGCAATTCCTTCAATGAAAGTTCTAAGAAAAATTATCCCGTTTGGTCGAGCGAAAAGACTATAAGACAAACTGTTTACTGTTGCGAAACTCGACAATTTCTTTATGAAGTATCGTACACTCGCTAATTACAAATAGTTCGTATTTATACATTCGATTTGTAATGCGTTCACGTTATAAATGATAAAGCTGAATGAAACATGACCCTAAATTTTACTTAGTATCTTGCCTTTCAAATAAATTATTTATTACACGTGAATTATCGACTTCTTTCTGCTAATTATGATTCAATTTAGGTGATTCGAGACAAGAAAATGAACGCATCGAATGAATGTTCACTGTTTAAAATAATTAAAGGCATGTTACGATTAATCTTATCAACAACGTAATTCTTTTATGAAGACGTGAAAAATCTTGGACCACTAAAGGTTAACAATGTGTATTCGGTTATCAGGGACCTTATTTCTCTTCTAGAAAAAAATATTCAAACAAGTTTGTTATTAATCGTACATATTATATATCAGCCTCGTTGTTGTTAATAATTATTAATTGCTGGCGAAGTACAGTTACAGAACGCATAAATGCATAAACATACACGGTATAAATATAATACTTGCAATATTGTTTCTAATCTGGTACTTACTACAAGAAAAAAGAACATACTGTATCGTGAGTCATCTTTAAAAATTTCGATTTCCATAAAAATGACACAATTTTGGAAATAATGCAAGTAAAGCGAACGGCTTCTTCAAGAGTCAATTTCAAGGATAAGCGAAAATGGCAATTACCGTACACTTCTGTGCACTTGGCGTAACTATGCCTCGATGCAACACACTCTCGAATGCTTTCTGTATTCTGTAACACGCAACGCCCCGAACAATCTGTTGTTCGAGGTTTACAAAAGGTGCCGAGAGTTACCCGTACACGAAGAACGTCGACTCTGTATCGATAAATTGTTCTGTAAAATACGCAAACCGCTTTCAGCCGCTATGTAAACACGCGCGTTACTCACATTATTAACAAATACAGTAAACGGTAACTGTATCCTCTCGCTTTGATTTTATCGGCGTCGTAGCATGACGCATGCCATGCGGGGAATTATTATAGAAAAGTCACGCGACATTTTTTCAGTCGTGGTCGCAACTCTGTAGAAATCACGAGCCGATCGACGAACTAATTAATTATCCCATTGATTTCGATTTTGAAGGGTCCACCGGAGGCAGTCTCAGTCCTGTGACGTCTCTCGCGCTCAATTCCCTAACGGGGACACCTCTGAACGGGTTGCAGGATTCCTTGAGCAACGCCTATTCCAGTTTGCAACAATACGCAGGTAACCGACCTATCTTGCAAAGCTTATTTCTGCGTGCTGACTAAATCGCAATTGTTAAATGACGACGACTATTGCTTCATACTTTGCACATCGTTCGTAAAAAAGTGTTTGTTCTAACGAGTAACGTGTGCGCCTTAAAGCTCTCATTGGAAAGACGACGGTGACCATGGAAAAGAAAGAATTACATAGTGAGTAACACAAATGGAATGCCTGAATTTAGTTCTATGCATCGACAGTAACACGTATTTTCGTATCGAAAATTATTTTTCCGCAGAGACTTAGCTGTGCAAATATTATTTGATTCTTTGTGCAATCGCAGATATTATTTGATTCTTAGTACGTTATCGAATATTATTTGATCCTTTGTATGTTTCCAAATATTATTTGATTCTTTGTACATTTCCAAACGTTTCGTTGTGTAGCGACCCTTTACGGACGAACGGGTACCGTGAAATAACACTAAACGAACAGTTAAGGATTTGTATTAATCCTTTAACTTCGGGTCGACTTTTGCTGGAAATTCCGAAAGGCGTAGAGGTGTGAATTTAAAAAAAAAAAAAAAAAATATCAGCTTATAAAGGGTAACAAAACGAAACTTTGTTTATATTTACAGTTTATTCATAGGACGTTTAGTTCCAGAGATAAAAATTAGAAACTTGAACGACCTTTTTCCCCGAGATCTCGTAATGGTCTGATCCTGTTGCTGTTGTCTTAAAGGAAAAAGAAACAACAGTCGAACAACCGAATTTTAAAAAATATCACTTCATAGAGAATGAAAAAACGAAGCTTTTTTTATATTTACAGTTTATTCATAGGACGTTTGGTTTCAGAGATAAACATTGAAAACTTAGAAGATCGACTAGGGGAACACTGATTATTAAATATATAAACCAATAGTAGAAAAAAAATTAGTGAAGAAGTGCCCTTTTTCGACGAGGCAACCCTTCACCCTTTAAAGGACTAAATGTCCCGTAAATCAAGTTACTAGCTACGTTTCCGGAGTTCCAACGGTTCAATGTTATTCACAGGACTATTTTCAGCGCAACTTTATCGAAATAAAATTTATTCATTTGCGAGAAAGGCGTCCGTAAAGGGTTAGGAGCACTATTAATTAATTTTCACTGTCGCCTTACCTCATGCCTTCAACAGTCCAAGAAACAATGACCTCCGCGCATTCGAACCGGATGCACGATAGACGAATTCTCGGTAATCACGATCGAGCTCTCGAACGCGAATACTCGTAGAATGCGACGAAGAAGGAACGGTGTAGCTATCCTCGAGGAAGAAATAAAGAATTCGCAGTGACGCGTGTCGCTATTCCAGGGTTCCCGGCGTTTACGGCAGCGGCAGCTGCGGCCGCAGCAGCGGCCCAAAAGGCGAAATTCGCCACCACCGATAAGCAGATAGAAGGTCCCGAGGGTTGCAACCTGTTTATCTACCATCTACCGCAGGAGTTCAGCGATACCGATCTCGTTTCAACGTTTGTGCCATTCGGGAACGTCATCTCTGCCAAGGTCTTCATCGATAAACAAACGCAACTGAGCAAATGCTTCGGTAAGACCCTCATGCATACGTACCATGCATCTTTAAGGCTGGGAAACCACGTTAGGAGGCCACGTATGGACTGGGCCACGTATGGCACCTATGCACTGTAGAGCAGGTTGACACATGCATACTCCCCTTAAGGGGTTACGCCATTTTATTCACTCGAATTTTCAGAATTCTTCAAGAATTCTTCAAGAATTTTGTTTAAAGCGATAACAAAAGCGAAAGATTTTATTTATCAAGAGGACCGAAAAGTAATAAGAGATCTTCGATTTTTCATGGAGAAACTTCTACAAGTCAAAGACATTTTGATTGAACAACTGTTTTGATAACTAATAAGGGTCCTTCGATTTTTCATTGAAAAACTTCTACAAGTCGAAGACGTTTTGTTTAGTTATCAAGTCAGTTATTCGATTCCTCAACTAAATAATGATATTCAAACAATTTTCAATAGCTAGATAACTAAATATAAAAACAAAACGTGACGAAGAACACTTAATATTTGGCCTCCTAATGTGCTCTCCCCCTTAATTGAGCAATTATCAGACTTTAACGGTGTTCCTTTCTCCCTCTATTCTTTGTTAATTTGATACATATTTTCAAATGCAAAAGTTACAAGTGCACCAAGAAATATTCTATCAAATAGTGTAAAATTTATTACCAGAAAATTTTCCGTTTATGTAAGAAGTGTATAAATATGTATTACTTATAAGAGTATTTGTATTTACTCAATGATATTATTCTAGATTCTGTATACATGTATATGATTATACGATAATAAATAATAAGATATGTATATGTATGTATACACATAATTTGTTATATCATGTATTACATATATTCACAATTTGTAATTTATTATTGTATAATCGTGTATATAGAGATTAGAATAAATTATACAAAATTAGTACATGTACAATATTGTTCATATACAAAAATTAGAATAAAATATCATTGAGTAAATATATTTTATATATTCGCATATATTTGCGTATTTTTTGTTAATATTTGGCCTTCTGATGTGCTCCCTCTTAATTGAGCAATCTTCAGACTTTAAGGGTGTTCTTTTTTCCACCCATTCTTCATTAATTTGATACATATTTTCAAATACAAAAGTTGCAACAAGTGCACCAAGAAATATTCTATCAAATAGTGTAAAATTTATTACCAGAAAATATTCCGTTTGCCCCCTAAAATATTCACAAGCTTGCACCTTTTTTGTTAACATTTGACTTCCTAATGTGCTCTCCTCCTTAATTGAGCAATCTTCGGACTGTAAGGGTGTTCCTTTTGCCACCCATACTTTTATTTAATTTGATACATATTTTCAAATGCAAAAGTTACAAGTGCACCAAGAAACATTCTTTCAAACACCGTAAAATTTATTACCAGAAAATATTCCGTTTGCCCCCGAAATATTCACAAGCTTGCACCTTTTTTTCGGGGCTTCCTGGTACCTATTCCCTTAACTCTACACGCCCGTTCAGAGTGCGCACGACCGATAAAGTCTATCGAGGGCTGATATCGGCAATTATTTCCAGGCTTTGTGTCGTACGACAACGCAGCGAGCGCGCAAGCGGCGATCCAGGCGATGAACGGTTTCCAGATAGGCATGAAACGGCTGAAGGTCCAACTGAAACGATCCAAGGATGCATCGAAACCCTATTAGCCGACGTCGACCACCGTTCGTAGGTAGATACCCAAGGACTTCTCGGATACCACGGCTCGGATTCGACGACCCTGGTGTCCTTAATCAAAAGCCATGTTCACGCATTCGATAATAGTCGCGGCATCGATCATTGGTCGAGATGTTCCGCGGGTCTGGTTTGATAGATCGTTTCATTCGACGAGGGCATTTCGAAGGCATTGGTTCCTAAAAAGAGACATCTCTAGTCAAACAGTATTTTCGGTGGAGGTCGAAAAAACGGATATATATTCGCGAGCGACGCGTTTACCCCTTCCGCGCTTCGAAGTGGCGCCGATACTCGCGTTAGAAGTTTCATTTGACCAAAAAGAAAAACAAACAAACCAAAAAAAAAAAAAAACCACATTATCCTTCGAAACGAGGCTGTGATAATCATGAAGACTTACGTCGTCAGACTTTTTTCCGAAGAATGAAAAGTTACCGTCCTCTCAACGTTCTTTTTTTTTTCTCTTCCTTTTTTTTTTCGTCTCGCGAGATATACACGCGTATCTCTTTTTTCGAGCTGACGTTTCTTTTTTTTCTTCTACTTGTTAGTCCGTCCATAAATTCTGGTATTTTTTTTTTTTACCTAGAAAGAAGACTATCTAAGAGCCTTCGATTTTTTTGCGTGAATCTAAGTACGCGAAGATTAGTTTATGCAACCGAATTCGCGTAAATATCGCGAAGCACGGGTGTCACGCGAATTCACGTGATCGCGATCGAGCGAAGGATATCTCAGATACTCGCGGTTCTGGATACAAATAGGTACCGTACGAATTTTTACATCTTTACAACCTTTTTTTGAATATTTATGACAAATGTATTTTAAACTAGAACGCATCAATTTCAACATTTTCGCGACTTCTGCGTATGTTTAACGTAACAATAAAATGCTCGGCATCTGGTATTTTTGAAATTTGGTCGCATCTTTGCAAATTGAAAAAATCGTATTAATTTCAAGAAGTTTTAAGATCTGTTTTTATATTTAATTCGGCTGGACTATGCTCCTTCGCCGAAATCATCTAATAAATTCATTTTTTTTTTTTTGAGAAAACACATTTAATAAGTTTCCATTAAATTCCTAATTACCGTTTAAGAAGTTACGAAGATGTTGAAATTTCTGTATTTGTACCTAGAGCTGTGCTTATCCGTAATTACAATTATGGAAATCCCTTCGCCTGATTCACATGAATCACGTGTACACGTGAAATAAGGGGCTCCGCTACCTGTCTTTTCGCCGTATCTCGTTTGCACTTCGAGAAACGGAATCTCAGCCGCGATCACGTTTACTTTAAAATAAACGTTCTGCTCTTTCTGAACGCAGTGGTGACTCGAGGCACTTCAGTTCCCTTTTTCAACGAAGTTACGACAAAAAGTAGTTGTTCTAATGCTTTCCAACGTTACATTTGACTAAGCACTAGTGAAAACGTTGCAATATATATATGTGTTCAATTAACATACGTAGATCGTTAAGGATATTTTAAAACGTGTATTTATTTTCTTTGCGGGAAACTGTTTCCGAGTAATGTCGCCACTGATTCTGTACACGAAGAAAATACGTAAGAGTTATTACGAGCAATTGCTGCCATACGTCCAACACTTCTCAACCTTTTGCACTCTACGAAATTAGACTATACGTCGTTGACAGAACGAAAAAAATCTTGGCAATTTGCTGGATTATATCAAACTTTATATTTTTATTAACCAAACATAAATATTCATGAATTAAGATGGTTCAGTGGAAATATTACTGTCATATTTGCAACACTTTTAAATCTTTTACTCGATTTATTTCGAACTTTAGATTTTTATTAACCAAGTTTTAATTATTACATTAGTACATCTAAATTAACATAGTTTAATGGGAATATTATATTTGTTTCATTATTGATAGTAGGACTCCTTCAACTGCATGCACAGTTAGACTTTGGAGTGCAAAGGGTTGATGAACGTAATAAATAATACACGGAGTGTATACGTGAAGTGTCAAACTTTTTCAAATTATTCAAGAAGATGCAGAAACTTTTCGATTTGTGATTCAGTAGGTGAAACGTCAATGATCGGATATCTATTGTCACGAAAACAAGACATCACCTTATATTTCCAAGTGGAATGATAAATAAATTTCTACAAATTTTATCATTGGTCTAAATAACATTTTGCTAGCTATATAATATAGCAGTGTGTATATAATATATTATAATATTTATAATATATTATGATACTTGTAATATAATGTAATATTTGCTAATGCAAAGGAAGAATAATGGCAACCAAGAGAAAACATTTCAAGACAATGAAAGTCTATATGAAAACTTCCATAAAAGTGTAGAAATTTATTACTGCGTTTAAAAATATAAGCGGCAACCGATCCTATGTATTTTTTTCATGTACAGTATACCAGGTGGATCATTTTTTTTTCGTCTTTCAAGTGCAAAAAGTCGATGACAGCCTTCGATAGAGGGCTTCGGCGTGATACGTGCAGTGAGTAACTTTATCATTCGAACACCTCGCAATTTTTTACTTCGTCGTTTATAACTTTTTCTGTGACCAAGCATAAAGTAATTAAGGTACAGGTGACTAGAATTATAATTATTCATTAATAATTACTCATGTTTTTAAATGCTCAAAGTTCAAAGAAACCGTTATCATCTTGTTGCATCCACAGCATCTTGTTCGTTATAGACAATTGTTTAAATTATCTCGTTATATAATCATTTTTTTTACGATCTTACTGTAATTTTTCACATAAAACAACGAAAAGTTTCAATCCATATAAAACGATTTGAATTTTCATTAAAAATAAATTATGCAACTATCGATTACACTTACGAAAAAAAATATGGTCCTACAAATAGAATACTCTTCGAATCATTCATCTTTTCCCTCTGACAACATTTCTTTTTAAATGCTCTGATTTAAATTACGACCTGTCACACTTACTTGGCCCACCCTTTACAGCTCACCTACTTCAATTTTCATCATAGATAAAGTTGAAAAGCGACATTAAAGTAAGAAATTGTAAAGTTTAGAAATATCAAAGTTACTCGGTGTACGTCTGTACTCGATCGCGCTGCATCACAATGAGATCAGTACACTAGAGTGGTCTTTACTTTAATGATTTTTGAAGTCATCACCCCCTGAATTCCTTGCAAATACGTAACAAAATAATTCCTGCAAAATTTGAACTCTCAATTTTAACATCAACACCTGCACCAAACCTTCGAAAGTTTTTAATGGAAAATACATGGGAATTTGTTCAATCGATTACATTCTCTTATAACTCTGGTAAAAATTGATCAAACGATTCGAAATTTGTCAGTGTTATTACTTGTGATAATAGGAACAAGCCTAAAAATTTTCAAATTTTTATCTTAAATGTTTCTTCGTATATCAGCCCAATGAATATGAAGCTTATATTTTTGTAATATTATTTTAAATAGGAACCTATTCGTAATTTTCTACAAAAGTTCCATAAACAAACTCAAGGTTGTTATTTCAAGACATTCAAAAATTTAGTACATCAAAATTCTTCTTCCATAAAATAATATTACAAGTATATTTTAAGTAGAATAAATAGCTTCGTATTTCCTGGTCTTATATACCAACGAAATAATTCAGATAAAAATTTGAAATTATTAAGGCTCGTTCCTATCGTTACAAGTAATAATTCTGCCAAGTTTCGAATGATTTCGTCAATTTTTACGAAAGTTATGAAGAAAAGAAAGTGACCGATTAAAAAATTGCAAAAATTCTTTTGTTCATATTTACGAGATATTCAGGGGGCGCGTTTAATACAGATTTCGAGAATCATTCAAACAAGGACCACCGGTATACGCACGCTTGCCAACGCTCGTCCTTCGATTCAAGAAGACGCAAGCCTGCCCTTAGCCCTATACCGCCCCTTCCGACCCCCCTTTCGCGCCAGTGGTGTAATCAAACTTCATTTCGTTGCAACGGCTGCCAATCAAGCTTTCTGTGCTAACTTTTGTGCACAAAGTGGAATTACGTACGTGAAGTTTCACTAACATTTTTTTCTTTTTCTTTTTTCTTTTTTTTTTTTTTTTACCGTAGCTCTCCTTCAGGAGAGTAAAAGTAGTTTCGCTTTGAGTTTATTTTTTTTTTTCACGCAACGTAAGTCGTTACGTTAACCAAAACTTTCCAAGATTCGCTTCACTCTTCTCTTGTTATTGTTAATACGTACATATACTCGTGCACACGTACGATTATACACGTTTGTAATATACATATATACATATACATATATTTATATACGTTTGTAACATAATCACCGTTCGGTATCGCGCATTGTCCTACCAAACGGTAGCAATGGAAAACCACAACGACATCTACCTCGCTAATTTATTATGATTACGCCACTACTTTTATTACGCAATCACGCGAGTTAGTACCTCGTTTGTTGTACAGGGCACAGAACTTGGAACGTTCTATCGTGACAGTAATATCTCGAAGTTTGATGGTTAATTACGCTATGACGCTTTATTAGTTGTTAGTACTAACATTGCCGTGTTCTTTTTTTTCTTTTTCTTTTTTTTTTTTTTCACTGGGATGTCGCCGATCGTCGGTAACGATCGACGCCCGGAAACGATTCATCGATTCTTTCCACGCGGAACGCGCGAAACGGTGAAACTTTATTCGAACGCGGTGCGGCATCGATGAATCGCGATGGGCGGGAAACGAAGCAACGAGGATCAAGAATCGATCGTATATTTCGTGAACGAAGGCTGTATTTTCCTGTAGAGGAAAGAAAAAATTCGAGAGCTGGATCCTCGGTTGCTTCTGTTAGAAAACGACGGATCGGCAATCTACCTGCGCACGCGTTGCACGGTGACGTTACGTTCGAGATCCTGCGAGTGTCGTTGTTAAAAATGAATCGTTCGCGTTTCGATTCGTAAATTCATTCCTCGTCGTTTTTTCTGTCCGTTTGAGTATGCATTGTCGGTTTTGCTCGGAGGGATGTAACCGTAACACTTACTTAGAGAAACTAGCTTCGAAATTGCCGAAGGGGAGGAAACAAAGGTTCGAGACGAGGCGAGGCGATGAACGTTGAGCTGCCTCGCGAATAATTCGCAGGTTCGGTGAAAACGATTAATGTTCCAAGGAACCGTCACCGCGCACGTTTGCCCGGGGAATCCTACATATCTGGTGTGTGGTGGTGACTAACCTGTCCGTGTGTTTGTTTGTGTGCCAGCAGGTGGCCTGTGACGTTGTGACCGTGTTCTCGATCGGAGTCGCCGTGCCATGTCAGTCTCAGTCAGTCCAATCGGTCAATCGTTCGATCGATCGGTCAGTCGATCAGTCGATCAGTCGATCACTCGATCAGTCACGACTCCTTGGTCAGCCTCTTGATCAGTCATTCTGTGTCTGTCGGTGCCTGTGCACAACTGCCCGCCCACTCGCTCCTTTTTGCAAGAAGTGGATGCTGCCCGCCTCTGCTCCTATATATGTATATGTACATATATACATATAAATATCCCTCCTTTCCCCGTACGTCCATCCAGCAGAAATTCCACGGACCGCGTCCATCCACCTACGAGCTACCTCTACGTTTTATTTCGCGAGCCGTTTCCATGGTCGCCACTGCTTGGTCTTCTTCCATTTAAACGGGAGTAGACATGGCAACCGATTGTCGATCGCGGCGCGCTTAACGCCGCCCTATACCCCCCAGTAAACCGCCCGCTATGTAATAAAGCGATAGAGAGAAGAATACCCCCTCGATGAACGTCGGCCAGCCTAACCGGACCAAGCCGGTGCGAAACAAAATTTAATCGAGGTGCACGAAAACGGAACGAGAGGAATCGCCGTGGGATAAAAGACATCTCGATCTCGCGGTATCGGGAAGCCAACGGAAACGACCGATCCGTCGTTCGGGAGTCGGATGTAAAAAAAACGTAGCTAAGCGGAAGTCGACGACAGAAACCCGACGTACGAGCACACTATGTTTTATGTTCCTCGGGGCTGAACTGTGACGCTACCTTTACTCTCTGTTTATCTGTATGTGTGTGTATATATTACGTAGCATATGCGAACGTATGCATACCCATATATATTTATATGTATATATGCGCGCGTGTGTACAGACCGCGCCTGCGCCAGTAATGCGATCTAAACCTGATACCGGGACGAGCCGATAGTTTGCGTCGGGACCGTGACCGCAATATGTCGTTCGACGTCGGGACCGAGGGATCGAAACGAACGGAATAGGGGACGAATCAATTTTAGATCGTAACGAATCCTTCGTGGACCTTTAGCGTAAGAGATATTCACGTACAATCACTAATTAGCCGTTAACGCGTTGAACGTCGCGCCGATTTTCCGCGCGTCGGTACCGAAGCTTCTCGTTCGGGCCGCGTCGCGTCGCGCTCGTCTCCGCTCGAAATTTAAAAGAAAGGGTTGGACGTCGACGTCGTTGTCTGAAAAATTATGGCTTCGAAGTGTAACTACAACGGTACTTGTATTTTTTAATGTTTGGAACCTTCGAGGCTGTAGAAAATAAAATTCATTGAACGGAGGTATCGCGGAAAGAGAATTTTACGGAAATTGTATTCAAATTTCGCGCGATCTGAATAAGATACGATTTTATTTCTCGAATCGAATTTATTTCTTTTCTCGAATTTTATCGTATCCCGTACTTATTACACTTTTAAATTCAGATTGGACCGGCGATTTGCAGCATAATTATACCCGACGATTCTAGTCCCAACATTCACCGCGAGATTTTGATCCAGTTAACGCGGTGGTCATTCGATAATAACATTCCGTTCTTGAATATACAACTCGTTGTTTTAAACCAGCACGCAATTGATGTATTTTTCGTTCAAGAATCTAGAATACTTAAAAATTCAGGTAGTAGCTGTAGGTATGCTTCGGAGGGTGGTTCAAAAAGATACCAAGCAAACGTTACCTGTGATATCTACAAAGAAAACCCTCGTATTTAGACTTAACACGTTGGTCGTCACAACCCAAAAATGGATGACGATACTAAAAAGAATTCAATGCGAAGGTGAAGCTTTAACCGAAATAAGGATTCGTGAATTCATAGGATTCGTGAATTCGGCAAGGTTAACAAATTTAATTAAATAGATTATCTAACGTTCAATCTTCACGAGTGTTAGTCTAGCAGCCAACCTGTTAATAGATTATATTAATTTCTTACCGAATTATTATATACTTCATTTATTACTTAGCCTGCGGATGTTTATGCATTTATAGCAAATTGAAGCAGTAATTAAATCTATGAGAACGTTCACAAATCCATCCGTAAAATATCAACAACAATATACATGTTATGTCGTTTGGAAGGTAAACCATACTTTCGTTTAAGTTGATTTTTCTGTATTTCTACAAATATTACTTTGCATGAACAACCCCAGTCTATAAGTTGCTCTCGATTGCGGAAATACCGACGTCCCTCGACGAAAAATATTCAACCAGCGTACGCAAGGACACGTACGACGACGTACCCTAAATAAAAAGTTCATCGTCGATGCGCGCAGGGACGCGGCGCGACGTTCAACGCGTTACACGGACAAAAGTATGCCGTGTCCGTGAAACGGTACGGTGTACCTTGTATCATACGGGAACCCTATCCGCGCATATATTAATTTAGCGACCGAGAATCGGCTCGATCGATTCGAGTTTTTCGGGGTATCGCTGCCAGCGTGTCGCGGAACCGCCTGTTCATATGTAGATACGCGCGCTGACGCGCCGGCTAACCGAATACATACTAGGGAAGGAAAAAAGTATAGAACAATGAGGAGGTACGCTAGATTGCGAGACGCGCAAACGAAGCGACGAAGAATGGTCAGTTCGATTTACCGTGTAAATTAAATGGTGTAAAGATTACCAAAAAACGAAAAAAAAAAAAAATACAGAACCAAAAGAAGAAAAAAACAGAAAGACGAAACTTGGAACAAGGAAAACAAAAGAAGCATAGGGGGAAACGATACATAAGTAGCATTTTTTAATGACTTTGTGATAACGTTGTACCGTACATAGGATTGGACTAGGGTCGCTTTTTAAAGTGTGTATGATAAGCGTGGCATAAGAAACTTAACGATGGAAAATTTCGAGACTAAAGCGTTTTCTTTTTTATTTTTCATCGGGTGACATCTCAGTAACGCGATCGTTCTCTCTCTCTCTTTCTCTCTCTCTCTCTCTCTTTCTCTCTGATTTTTTTTTTTTCTTTCATCGCAGGTATCGAGAATAATGCTTATTATCGTTGATTCGTATTTTTCCGATCTCTGTTGGGCTCGAACCCGGACGAATGGTAGTATCCATCGAAAAGAAAACGGTACCCAGTGCTTCGTTTAGTGGCATGATGAAAAAGAAAGAAGAAAAAAGAAAAAGAATCGGACAAATCGAACGGGACAATTTACTCGTCGGAATGGCGATCACGTGGACGTTCGATTATGCGAATTAATCTTGAGTTAATAACAAGTTTTTGTTACGATATCCGACAAATACAACAATTTTACGAATTACATGTGGATGTATCTCGGGGAGGGGGGGGGGGGGTTATTCGTTGCTAACGTTTTGTTTTCGTCCGGGTAGCGCTAAATTTTTATTTAGAAAGAGAACAGAAGCGGCCAGGATCGTCTGTCAGTATTGTGAAACGTTTTCTTTTCTTTTCTTTTTTTTTTTTTTACCGCTCGGCTAAGGATTCCGAATTTACAATTGCGGACGCTTACAATTATTGTTACTGAAGCAAGATTAACTCATCGTCGTCATTTTTTAGGTACTTAATTTCGTTATAAACTTAGATCGAGAAAGGTATACGATTCCTGTGAGAAGAAATCGAAGAATTCCGAGAGTCCAGAAATGGATAGCTGATAGATTGAAAGTAACGTTAATCCAGTCTGCATTATCGCACGCGTCTCTGTCGTCACCAGTCTGTAGAATGGTACTCTCTGTTCCGGAAATTAATGATCAACTGCAGATTTTATGTGTTTACGATATAAGCCAATACCAGAAATACATGCTTCACACGATAAAGAATTACAGTCAATCCCATAAAGACCCTCTATTAAAGAAATTTGTCCAAATTAAGTGACGAGTTCGATGTCTCCAGGTAGATGTTTGATTATAAATATCTATATAAATAAACTTTACACGTATATGTAATTAAAATGAAAAATGTATTTGGAACATAAAACCTGTCGTTTAATTCCAACAAATTTCTTTAATGGTAATAAAGGGTACGAGTACTTGTGGGACTGACTGTATATGCATTTGTGCAAAACGAAATATTAATATTATTCTATTAATTAATAGAATATATTCTACATGCATTATGTATATTTTTTTGTATGTTTTTCATAGTAGTGCTCTACATAAATGCATAAAATCCGCACTGCAACGTTGTTCGATGATGGTGCTAGCTCTCCCTTTGGGAAAAAAAAAGATTTTAAAATAAATGATAAGGAGAGAACAATGCACAAATGTTAAAAGAATAATCTGTTTCGAGCTTGAAAAGGAATCGACAGACCCAACGTATTGTATTCATGAGATTTGTAGATTTTCAAGCTGTATTACTTTATTAAACAGATTAAATCTGTACATTTTCGAAGTAAAAATGATGTTGTATCGAGAACTACGATCGGTTATTCATTTGTCCAGATGCAGCGTGATCGGTCGTACAAACATCGAAAGTACTTCATTCGTAAACGCTGATGTATCGTTTTCCAGCTTCATCTAATCTACAAAACTCACGCGTACACGTAATATATCAGCTTTGAGTACATCGCTGGTGCTTAGTCGTATTAGCAAGACAAATTTCTCTGGGAAATGTAACGAAATTATTTTTCTTTTTATATCATGTTCTGGAGCGACAGCTGCATAAAGGAAAGTAATGCGAGGAGGGAGCACGAATTATTAGGTAATGGAATTAAAAAATGGCGTCCAACGTTCGATCGCAGAGACGACCGGGTTTCCTGAACAAATTTGTCTTAACGATACTGTCAAAGCGACTTGTCGACGTTCAAAATGAAAACAGGCTGGTGAATCAGTGAAACAGTGCAGGAGAATCCACGGCTGGCTCTCTTTTTAATCCATTTCTACGAATCGTCCCGTTTGCCGTCCCTCCTTTCTCCTTTCCCTCTTCGTTATCAAAGATTCGTTCAAATTTCGATTTCTAGCTGTTGTTTGCTTTGCACAGAGTCTGTTTCATCAAATTCCGCCAAAATCCGTGTACCCGAGCGTATCGCTGGAATGAAACAAATTCTTTTCGATGACAATAACACACAATTTACACGCACGCGTCAAACCAAATGAACGGGGCAGCGAACGGCAACCTTTTACGAATGTACAGAGTGGCCAGCTGGAAACGAAGTCTATTTATCGAAAGCATCAACGAAAATGTTCGAGGGGAAAGTTTGGATAATTTTATGGGGACAGCTTCGCAGATCTTTTTCACAGTTATCGTGGTTGGAAATATTTTCATTGCTCTTTTTTTTTCGGATAGAGACAAAGCACCGAGGATCGTGAATGTCGAGATTGTTATGTGTTACGTAATTCTACGTCAACGATTCTGTACCGAGTGCCTTCGAATGAAACATTTCATTTTAGATTAACGGTAATCTTAAGTACAGATAGTCGCGTTCTTTGTTTAGGGGAATATTAATTAAATTTATTAAGGTGGAGGCTCGGTTCGCTACGCTGAAAGTCAGGCATTCTTTTTCTTTACGAATTTTTTAAAAAACAATGTATTCAGCGAATCTTCGTGAAACTCGCGGGATCTTTTATTGGATACATGGTGATAACAAATCATTTTGTTCAATACAAAATTGTACGCGTTCTTCTTGTTTATTATATAATTCCATCGTCGATGTACCTAAATCTTTGATAACAAAAGTTAAGCTAAACAATTTTTTCACGCAAATAATGAGAAAATTGTTTGGCAAAAGCACTGTTTCTTCTTTCAACGTCTACGTTTTTTTTCAATTTTGTACTTTTCTCGCGATTTATAGATGCATCGTCGATATAATTATACGATAGACCAGAAAATCTTTAGCTTCTTTATTCGAGGCCAAAAATTCAAAGCTCTAGAATCTGTCTACAAATATGCCCACATACGTGGCTTATCCGCTTACAATTTTATATTGAACAAAATTATTTGTTTCACAAATACACTGCAAGTGTCACAAACGTTCGCTAATTACGTTATTTTTAAACGATTCGTGAGAAAATTCCTCATTTACGCTATCCTGAACGGGGCTCCCCCTTCAAGAATCGCGACTTGGAAGAAAAAAGTTGTGAAAGGATAACGTAAGCTATCAGTAGACGGTATCGACCTGTAAAACTATTCGATGCCTCGAACATTCGCGTACGTTAACCGTATACAGTGACAAGCATACAGTAATTTACACTGTAAAGATGACATAACTAGGAGTGATTGTTTTTAGCGAGCCACTACTGTAAATACATTAGACGTGGTTGTTTCGTGCTCCCGTGCAAATTACCAAAGACATCTTCTTTAATTAAATCGATGTACTTATGCACCGTTAACGACTAATTATCTCACTCACACTTACACGCATACACGTACACACATACACGTTCAGCCGATAACGATTAACCCGCGCTAGAATCAAGCACGCGTTACACGTTCTTAAGTCTTACGCGTAAATACAAATGGAGCCTAGTCAGAAGTAACATTACGATTAATGTATCACCTTTTATGTTCGTGTCATCTTTCTCACCACATTCTTTCTGGCACGTGCGTTTACATCGTTGTTTAGTGCTGCTATGTTTACTATTATTATCACAACCATTATTATTATTATTATTATTATTATTATTATTATTATTATTATTGCTATCTCCCACTTTACCGATGATTATCGTTACCCTTATTATAATTATTACGATTTATTGCTATCGCTGTTGATAGATTGCGAATATTATATTATGACGTAATTATTATTGTCGCTATGATTCATGATGGTATCGTTATTGTAAAATTTTATTATTATCATTATTATTACTTTTGTATCTATTATTATTATTATTATTATTATTATTATTATTATTATTATTATTATTATTCGCACGTTGTAGGAATGGTAATTACGATTAACCATGTAATTTTCGTTGATACGGGCACAATTCGATTCAACCAATTACATCGTAACGTTAAGCTATTAATTTTTCGTCGCGGTAAATTGGAGACTTTGTATCGTTTTTTTTTTCTGTTTTTTTTTTTTTTTTTGTTCATTTTCGTTTCACACAAATCTCTCGAATAATCAGACGAACGGACACGAATCACCTCGTATCGATGTACTTAAAAATCGATTACATCTACCTCCAGATTTCGAATCACAATTCCCGCGATAAGACACTTTTATACGCCGGTGACATTTTCATTTTTTTACCTGCACGCTTCGCAAGCTTCCGGTCGAGCAAATAAAACTTACATGTGCTCATGTAAACGAACGATACTTGGAGCGATCGCAAACGTTTGAATTGCATGCGCTAATTTATCGAAACGAAACAAGTGACGTGATCCTGTTCGTTCGTAATTGTGTCGTAACTACCATTGCTATCGACACAGTTGTAATTTATCATTACCAATAGTATATATATATATATATACTATAAAAAAAAAAAAATATATATATATATTTATATATAAATATATATATATATATTTTTTTTTTGTTTTAAATGCTAGAGATACATAGCCCGTGCGAGCATCGCGTCCGTCGGTTATATATGTGTCGTCCTTGCAATGTTAACAGATTATAATACTTTATTTTGCTGTTTTTTTCTCTCGTAGAATTTGTTTTCTTTTTTGTTTTTTCTCTCTCTCTCTCTCTCTCTCTCTCTCTCTCTCTTTCTCTTTGTTTTTTATTATTAATTTTAGATTCGTACGTTCAACGCGTTCGTTTTCCTTGGTGCTCTTAAACGTATGACCTTTTCCGAGACGCAACACGCCACTGTGCGTTACGAATCAACCCGAAGGCGATCGTTCCCTGACACGTTTCAATGATTACTCGATCTCAGGAGTCATTCACAAATGGCGCGATTCTCTTCGACCTGCTGTTACGTTTGGATTCGGTTCACCTGGCCTTATTCGCGCTCACTCGTACAGATAAATTAAATATCGAGTAGCTGTTCGAATAACAAAAATGAATATGTAAAAAGGTGCGATGGATTCTTTGTAAATATTCCACCCACGAGCAAATGAAAATCCCGTTGGAACGAACGTAGATGCAAACGGAACAGTAGTAACAAAGAGGATACGAAGGCGAATTCGCTTCTTTCTAAATTTTACGTAAAATTGGCAATTCTGTGCTCCGAATCATTATATACATTATATTATGTATGTATTATATATGCTGTATTTTCGAAATTCCTCTGGTATTAAGGCTGTTGCGATTGCTGTATTATCGAACATCTTTTTTTTTTGTGCAATTCAAGGATATCACAAGCAGTAATATTTTTAGTAAACTTGTCTAGAGTGTTCGAAAGTCTTAAAAAATTGCAATGTGGGAGTTCGTTTCAAAATATAATTCGAGACCAGAGAAATGCGATATTAATAGCTCTGTTAAATTGCAAATTATATTTAATCAATTTCATTTGATTCGTCATTGCAATGATTACTTTCATAAAATATTTTTGCGTTTTATGTCATTGAGCAATTTAATTAATATCTAATACATACTCAATGTTCCAGTGATTATTCTCGCGATATAATATTTAAACTACACTAATTAGTAACCGCATACGTTAATGATAATTACAAGAAACGTTAACAAATAACAACACATGTTTCCGTCTCGAAAGAAAATTCCCAATACGTACTATCGATTTTTAAACACTTCGAAGACATTTTCGTCACCGTTACGATCGAAACGTCGAACTATAAAAAAAAAGAAGTACAAAAACAGTAAGTTTGTAGACAGGGAAGATGACCGTGTCGTGCAACGATCGCTTTCACAGTTTCCTTCGGCGTCGAGGATAGACGGTACTACATGCTACGAAAACGATCGTGAATAAAATCAAAGAGGAACCAAATTTCACCGCCAAAACGCAAACTACATAGTACCATCGTGCGCACTATAGAAAGTTCACACATGCGTGTATCATGTGTACGTGTGTGTATGCGTGTATTATAGTATAAATATATATGTACACACGTATATCACGCTGAGCATTACGTGTGTTTTTGTGTATGTGCGTATGTGCGTATACGGATACGTGTACAAAATAATCAATGTATAATTTACGTGCGCTATCGTTGTTGAACGTGATCATCCACGTCTCCTATCGTTGTGTTCGAGTCGCCCTCGTAAACAAAGTACGGCTCTACTCTTTTCGTATATTTCTATATTTTTGTCCGCCATCATTTTTTTCTTTTCCGTATTTTAATGCACGCGCTTGATCGCTCGCGACGAACGATCACCGAAGAAAGATAGAACGAGATGGTCGATTTCTAATACGATTTCTAATACTTTTAATTTCACATTTTTTTTTTTGTTTCGTTTCCTTTTCTTTGCCGTATACAGCAATCAGCATGTGGATGGCGTATGTTGAAGTAACAATACATTGTATTTATTTTGTTCGTTTAATTTCTTGTTCGCTTTTATCGCCGTCCATCGTCCCACTGTCCTTTCATTTCCTTCTGTTTTTTAGCTGCTCTAGCGAGGTTCTTCGCGTAACGCGTTTAACAACATTCTACGCTACCTTCGTCCGTCGTTCGTTTACCCGATGTTTATTTAAATAACTTTCTCATACAGATATACGCCCGATCTCTGTCGGATCTATCGGAAACAGATCGACACTTCCTGCCCCTGTAAATTCGGCAGCTTCGTAAATTTTTATTTGACGTTTTGCGCGATTGTTCCCCGATGATCGTATCGTAAGATTTTGTAAAAACGAAATTCGATTTTTTGACAGTTCCCCTCTTAAGAGGTTGTGCCTAGTCAAGAGACCGAAAAGTGCGATTTTTCAAGAATTTTTCTTTGGAAAATTATTTGTCGTTTCCTTTATCGAACCTTTGTGTATTTAGTTAAGTAGATCTTTGTGTATACGCTTATATATTTTGTTTTTCATAAATATCAATTTGTTGAGGTGTTATGGTCAATGTCCGAGAGCGTCTTCTAAAAATGGTGTCACACGGTGATCAAGATATCTCCGGACTGGATTATCCGAAATCAACAAATAATGAAGATTCAGTTAACTTACAGTTATCTTTTGTCAAAGGAATGAGCAAAATATTCACAGTGACTTCTTAAACAAACATTTTCCGTTTCAACGCAAAATTTCGTCTGAAATTATTTATATAATGAACGATATTGTTCGAATCGAAAGAAAACCTTCGATTAAAAATTAGAAAAGCAGAGTTCCGAGGGACATGGCTTTGAGAAAAACACGTTCAATTAAAGTTTCAAATGCCAAAGAGTGAAAAATCGACTTTTTGAATATCCTGACTAGGTATAGGAGGCCGTTCGTTATAACCCAAGACTACCAAAGGGGATGAGGGATTAAAAAATCTCTATATGACGTTACCACGGGGGGGGGGGGGGGGGGGAGAGGGTGTAAAATCCATTCTTACATAATATTTTACTACGAGTCGAAATTCGCCTGGATGCGAACAATTGATTTGTATTCTTTAGATTGTTTCAAATCTCAGCTGCAATTATAATACACATCTTCCAGAGACTGAATAATTATTTTTTAAAATATAAAAATCTCTGATGTACGTTAAACAGTAACGTGCTTCAGTGTACAGTGGGTGTAGAAAGTATTCCTATCAATTTCCAAAAGAAGCTATGTAAAATTGTAATTTATTAACTTCCTTTTTATAAACAATGACATTTTACATATTCTCAAGCAATAAACTAATGCGTTTACGTCACAAACTCTACTGTAAATGGTTCGTCATAAGAATCGTACAAATACTTATTGCTTCTATACTTTTACCCACTTTTCGCATTTTTTTGTTACTTTCACAAATTATATTAACTAGTAAACGTTGTTTGGACTATATCTATCTTAGAGACATTTCGAGAATATGCAAAATATCATTGATTATAGAAAAAGAAGTTAAGAAACTACAATTTCGCACAAAAGTTTTTTGGGAAATTGTTTGGTGTACGAATACATTCTACACCCACTGTACGTATCTGAACCTTTTCCAAGGAAATTTAACTATTTACGTAATTATTTAACTCTTTTTAAGAAAACTCTGGGTAAAATCTTACGTAAGAAGGTGAAGAGAGAGGCTGGGAACTCTTATATGTCCTTACATGGGAGGGGGTTAACCCTTTGCACTCGAGTCCTTTCTTTCTGGTATCTACTAGCAACTCGAGATGCTTTCTTAGTATTCTATTGCCACGAATGCTAAGCTTAATCACCTTTACCTTGTCGACAACCACTTTATCGACACTACGAGTTCCAAAGAAATTAAACCTAAACAAATATCATTGTTGGCCGATTTACTGCGTGAAACCTAACGGTGACCGAGAGTCACTTCTCGAATGCAAAGGGTTAAAAATGGCCACAATTGTCTTTATGGTAATTAATGAACGACCTCTAACCCCTTAAGCATAACTAACAAACGGCTGAACATTTCCCAACGAGGTTTCGCATTGATCGTCGTCGTTATTCCACCTTCGGTGTATAGTCTCAACGGTGATGTGTAAGTACTCGTTCATTCGAGTGCGTGATAATTAAAGTCCGTATCAAAACGCGTCAGTCGATGGCGAACTGAGGTAACGGACGCTCAAGGTAGGAATTGAAGCATTCGTGGACTGAAGAAACAACGCGTTAAATCCATCCCAAGAGGGGAAACGAAGAAGCCAATTACGTTAACTTCTCTGGCACGACACGGGCTCGTTATACTCTCGAGGGACGAATTTTGAATGGATTTCTGTTTCCTTTAATTAAATACACGGGCAAGCTAATGCCAATTTCTGTCTGTAAATCGATTTTAACATTCAAATATGTTGTTTCGCTTTAATGCGGTATATTTTTGCATTCTAAACATTAAGTACAGTCAATATACAAGAGCTACAAACTGCAGGTTTGTAGCAT